TTTTCCAGTGCTCAAAAACCTCAACAGTTACTAAAACAATATAATTACACTATGATAAAAGTATCTATGACAGTCGCACCTTCCATGGTTCTGGTGTATTGAGGTCTGCAGACAATGTGATGACATCCAGATTTCTTCCACAGATAAGTTGTTTAGAGGCTTCTTTACTCAGCACTTACTGGCTCAGAGTACCACTTCTGAAGTGCTCGTTTGTTCACATGTCTCTGTCAAATGTTTACAATACTGACCAATTATGTAACTCAAATGAAATCATGGTGGTTTCAAACGTGCTGTAACATAGAACTGTACTAACCCGGTCACGCATTATGCTCCACACACTACCAGCCTACTCTTACAGAAGATACAGCATTAGTCCTTATCTCATACACCCTATAAAACAATCAGGTTTCTTACCTAGTTGTGATGCACCTCATTTTTACTTTCAAAATTATGCTCTCAGAAATTCTTAGACCACGTAAGATTTAATACTGGGGGAAAAACTTTAGGAGACACATATATTCCACTTCTGCTCATCTTAAAATGAGCAATGGCAACAAAAAGAAAGGTAGGCGATAGCGAAAAAATAACAAAATACAGATACCTTAACTGGTTAGGTATGGCTCGGGCAATGACGGACAAAACCAAAATGGCCTTTTAACAAAATTAGTCTTTAACAATTTAAGTAGCTGGCAATATGAGCAATTCATCTCTTTGGGATGCAGAAGTTTCCCTTTATTTTGGGAGAGAACACAGGCTATCAAGAGTTTAGTTGATTTTTGAAGATTCACTTCCTGCAACTTGTTTCAGCTAGCAAGTAGTGTGAGACGCACTTGCAAGATGTTCTATAGTATGAATTTTAAAGTGTTCCAAAAATACCTTTCTGTATCTAAAATTGTTCTCATTTTATATCCAAAATACACAATAGCCAATAAGCAGATTTTAATTAGTAACCAGACAATTCAAAGATAGAATGTCTAACCCTTGTTTACACTTATGAAGCAATTTAAGCTGTTTTAAACTTGTATAAATCCATAATTACTTCACTAAAGTGATGGCAGATTTTGCTCTCTATATGCAATGAGGATTTAAATAACATTTAAATTATTCACTAGAACAAATTTCAAAGAAAAAATAATTTTAGAAATGGGAAGTTTTAAAGTTTAAATTTTTATACAAGGATGCTAAAAAATACATGGAACTGTAACTACGCAGCTTCTATTTACTATTGATCTTAACATTTATGCTTTTTCTTAATTTGATTGAGAAACAGTTTTGCTCCTCCAGCACAAGACCGCTATTCCTAGTGTTTCACTGTACGTTTTTTGCATCCCTTAATACCGATTAACATGGTGGTTGTGCTGCTCATGCTCTCAGATTCCATGTCGTTAATAAGTGATACAAGATCAGGAGGTACACTACCACAAACCTAACTAGAGCGCAGCTTAGTGCGGATTGCCTGCACCTTTCGAAGCCACGTGTTTGCCTCAGTACATTAGAGATGTGCTTCAGCACTACAAAGCCTGCTACCAGGTTCACAATGACAGGTATCTTCACCGAGGCAGGGGAAATGGGGCCGCTATTGAAAAGAGAGTCAGCAAAAGTGAAGCAGCACAGGTCGGAAGAAAGAGGAGATAAGGTTGTGTTGCAGGGCTGCCAAAAAACTCATTTTCCTACTGGGAGGGATGAATTAGTGGATTTCACAGCAAGTGCCCATAACTTCATTGCTATTCAACATATTAGCAAGGTCATTTTCTGTTCCTACGATAAATAAAAAGATACTGCTTTATATAAACAGCTGAATGGGAATCTGAAGTACTCCCTAAAATTTGCAGATAGCAACAGTGAGCTGAAAGTCTGCTTCAAGCATTTTGCGATGAATGTTTTAAGAAATAGACCAATACAAGCACATTTTTAATACAGAAACCATTTTCTCCATCTTCACTTACCTGAAATGTGGTCACTGCAAGGAGTTTGCTTCTGCAGTACATTCACACATTTTGTACTCTTACAATTGTAGATGTTTGATAAAGTCTTTACCTTTATCATCGCATTCCCCTTACATTTATGAATAAAGACAACTGTTACCATGTCAGACTTAGGAAGTGTTCTGTAGCTCACATTTATCCTTTAGAGATCATGATCCCAGTTTAAGACTCCAAGTCAATTCCTAGGGGAGGCAGTGTACAAACAGATATAGCTAATGGGACCAGGAAATAATGAAAAGCCCAATGCAGTTCCCTCCCAGCCAGTACCGTGGTCCCCTGTGCCAACAGCCCTGGTGGGTTTAATCTGGGGACTAGAATAGCTACTGTCATGAAGCCAGACCAGGAACATCAGAGAAGAGGCATGATCTCTAGAAAGCTGCCTCTCCAACAGGCTTTTTATAAGGAATTTTGTAAGGCCACACAATTTTGATTTAAAATTGGTGCTTACCAACACTGTTAGTTACTGTGAGAACTGGAACAGTGCATGCCAGCATGATTCAATGACCCAGCCTGGGAAAGGGCACAGCCTCCCTAAGGTGAGCTAACTTGAAAGCTTTATTAGACATTATAACAGTATTTCTAAAAAAGCTGAATGAGTCTTAAGCTAATTGGCAGACCAGTTTAAATTTCCACAGAAAATGTAAAATACAACTTGGTAACAGTTTGCCTGCAAGACTTCTGGAGTCAGTTTTCTCTATACATTTAAGTTCTCCAAACTCTGTTCTATTTAGTTCTTTGCAGAATAAAAGTGGTGATTCATTCAAGAGGCTCTACTGATGGTACACATTTCATATCCAGGATTTAAGGAGGTTCTGAACAGAGCAGAGCCCTAAGAATGAAATAAGCCTTTTTATTTAATCTGAGGCCTTTAACTGTTATTTTTTGTATAACCTTTTAAGGCTTAGTTTAACTTTGTACTTTCAAACATTAATAAACTAACTCTCCTCCCTCTGCATTTTTTCAACAGCAAAACTAATTGCAGAGTGACACAGTTATAGCACTCTCAGTAATGTCAAGTCCACAACCAAGCACACCCACCTCTTCTGGACTGTCCACAGGTGATGCTCATCACTGCAAAGCTGCCATGAAGTAGAAATGTATTCAGTTATCATGAAGTGCAAGAAAGTGAGACTCTGTATTCCAACATCTGTACTGAGAAGACCTGGTTTGGGTTGTTGTTTTGGGTTTGATTTGTGTTTGTTTTTTGTCAAAAGAAGCAGGTACTACCTTGAGCAGTAATAAGGACAGGCATTTGATATTGCTGTTTATTTCTTTTTAAAAATTAGACAATTCTCAATGTATTATTCCAGCAACATGCTACTAAGCACTCTATACATTCCTTTCTTTAGAATAATTCTAACTAGATCTTGGCAGGGATAAACAGAGTTAAAATTACTGACTTTAATAGTACCAGTCAGAATTAAACCAGTTGAGAACTCCCCTGAATCTGACATATTGGTGTGAGATTGGACTACTCATATTTAATACTGTGTTGTTTTAAATACCTTTTGAAATATAAATATTTAGTTTCTCTATTAGAAACAGATGTGTGTATATTTTTTCATCTTATTCAGAACAATAAGATAAAAATTTCCATGGGCGTTAAAGGGAGTTTCAACTAGGGTTTCGTAAGGCAGGCTTTAAAATAGTGCCTGAACCAGTTTTTCCACAGAGTTCTTGATTAAAATCTACATACTTTCAATAACTATTTTCAGCAGGGTAAATTATGTGTCCTCCAAAAAGTTTTAATGAAAACCATTTTAATTAAAACTAGTTTGAGAGCATGAATATGCAAAGTCAAACCACAGGATACTGAAGACTTTTTGAGATTTGTCTGCATATCTACAAACAAAACCTCCCTCAAACATCCCATGGAGCAGAAAAAATTGTGGTAGCAATTCAAAGATTTTCAGTTGTCAGATTCAAGGTCACTAGTTAAATTATTCAGTCATTTTTACTTCTAGCAAAAACAGACATGTATGTTTTTGTATGTTGTTTCCTAAATTGTTTAGAAGCACACTCTTATATTCTCTATTTTACAGTGTTGTGCTTTTTTATTTATTCATCTGTACCGTTTTTTAGCTGAAAATTATTGTTCAGTTTGTACAAACCACCCATGATTTAAACTGTATAATTACATTTCATGTAATCTCACAATTTCATTGGGTAATTAAATGATTCTCTACAGCTTTTTTTACCAAAAAAAGCAATATACAATTAGTGAATCCCTGTAGGATTTTTCCCCCCTCACAAGCATTAACATTACATAATTAAATACACTGGACCAAATCTTTAGGCATGTCTGAGTTGTGCCGAAATCAGACATGCATGCAAAATGGCTCAAAGCTCATCTTTCACAAAGGGCTGGATCCTACTGTAGGACTATATCCTCATCACAGAGAGAGGAAAAAAAAAAGTGTCTAAATTATACCAGCTGTACAGGTGCAGTGGACTTTCATGCAGGAGGAAAGCCCAGCAACGTGCCCTCTTACATAAATGCTCCAGCATTTACTGTGGTATTTTAGGAGTGCATATGAAAAGGATATATGAAACTCTATAGCACCAGAGGATTATTCTTAAACTCCTCTCTGGGCAAATCACACTGAATTGAGGACCAGTTTAGGGCTGGTATTTTAAATTTTCAGTAGCTATACTATTCTAGAGGATCTAGCCCATGTCATCATAGTGCAAATGTAATCTCCTGTACAGATACCTTCTGGCAATAATAAAACAACACATTCTTAACAGAAGTACAGTTTGTTAATGAAGCGTGGTACATTTTACTCAGTTATGCACCTAGGCACCTTCTTTCATCACTGAGCCATCCACCCATTTTTCAGAAAACATTTTAAAAATAACATCTCCTTTGATAATATTAAAGTAGATTATATGTTTTTTTCTTCAGTAAATTAATAAAGTACAGTATAAACTGATTTTTCCAAAGTCATTTCAGTTTAAAATGGGCTGAAAAAAGTTACAATGTTTAATGATAATTTCCAAATAGTAACTAGATCACAAACATTTTCTTCATATGAGAAAACTCTGTCTGTGACAAAAAAAAAACAACCATGTCTTCCACGGATTCACAAACAGTATTTTAGATGCCACCATCACCTGAACTTCTTTGATGACGCCTTGCATGAAGAGAACATTGTCCTACTGATGATCAACATTCATCTTTTTTATACGATGAAGCAGGGCATCTTTTTCCATTTGGACCTCGGCAAGAGCCATTTTAGCTTTGGCTAGTTCCTGTTTGAGACATTCATTTTCTTCAATAAGCTGAAATGATCGGGTTAGAAAAGAACATTATTAGTATTCCTGCATACTGACAACTTTTTTCAGTACGGTAACTTTTAAAATACTGTATGCTCACATTCATTGCTGAGTGCAGGTTTGTTGGGGCTGAGTCAATTGTGACTGATTCCCAGTCAGTAAGTGTAGAACATGGAGAGAGTTGATGCAGTTAGCTCAAAAGGCAAGAAACCCAATGTTTTAGCTAAGCCATTTCCATTCCTGAGTAGTGTGGAAATTACACCAGGTTCTGAGCTCTAGGAATGGATTGTTACCCAGTGGAAAAAACAGCCAAATTGATGTGCAAGTTCTGTCATCATCAATTCAAAATCCAGGTATGACTGATAGATTAGTAAGTGTCTGACTTAACAGTCTAGTCCTTTGTCTTTGGCAGTTGTGTTGTACAGGGGTGAGGGAGATGGGGGAGAAGACTTGCTCCCTCATAAAACTCCCTTTGACGTAAAGGGGAAGAATTAGTCTGCAATGTATTATTACACTATTTAGAAAGCAGTATTAAATTTATTTTGCATGTCTGAGTACTGAACCATAAGATAATATCTATAATTCATACTTTCCATCCCCAAAAGATTTCTAAACAGATGTAATCCCCAAGCCCATCCCCAGATAATCTAACTGTAACATAATGGGGGGAGAGGGTTCAAAAGGAATTCTTAATACCTCATTTTTAAGGAAATCAGTTGAATCCCTCCTTGATTTAGAAGGTCTAGGAATTTCACAAGTAGTCTGCGTGGCTTGGTCCTGTGTTTTATGTCCAACAGGTCCAGTTGCTTGTTGCAATGCACTACTTGTAACCTTCATCTTTGAGACATCATTTACTCTTTGATTGTCTATATCACAGAAAGAGACTTAAGAGTAGTGCTCAGGGTTCTTTGTTGTCCTTTTTTTAAAGTTTCATTCTCATCAGCACAAAATTAAAACTATGTAAACAAATTTACCTGTAATATTAATTAAGTTTACATTTACCTCCCAAAATCAAATTTAACAAAAAAAAAAAAAAATAAAAATAAAAAAATTAAAAGTCATGTACTCTTTTGGAGGAAGAGAGAAAGGACAGGAAGCATGAGAATAAGCAATATGTAGCTTCCAGGCTGAAGAAAATGATCACATTTTTATACTGATCAATATCATCACCACAGAACATGCATTCTGAATAATTAGAAATTTGACAACTATTAATAGTCTGTCTCCAGGTCCAGATCAGAAAACTGCATTTATGTTTGAAGACACAGTGAGATAAACCTGCAGGATCAAATTTTTAAATTAGAAAGTAACTTAAATGACTTGGCATTAAAGAAACTTTCTAGCATTTATACCTGAAGTGCATTTATTAAAATATAATGCTGTCCACCAAGGGAAAAAATGAGGGTCATGGTTCTTAGTAGTCTAAAAAAAAACAAAAAAACAAAAAAAACCCAAACCCAAAAACAACCCACACTCCGGGGTGTTGCTTTTTTAAAGATTTCCTCCTAAACACGCGTTTTGTGTTCATTACATCCCACCACACACACGAGGACTCAAAAATGTAGCACTGCAGATACATAAATCACTTCAGTGCATTTGATAGCATTTGACCTATGCCTTTGAAGTCACTGTACATGAAGAGTCTATGGTAAGAATAGGGATCAAAGCACTTTAGCAAAAAGGGGAAAAAATATGAGCTGAAAGAAACCTTAAAACTATGTAAGTTCTCACTACATTAATATTTCTTCCAATGTTTAGTATAAAAAGATGACCAAAATACATTAAACATCTGTAAACACTCAAACAATGTATTAGATAATGTGGAGAAATTAAAATACAAGCAAATCACGCCACAGCATACGTCTGAGAAGTCTGGTCCCTCTTTGCTATACCTTCCCATTAGGAAGGTGAAGGGGGCATTAAGATCACCCTGCAGCCTCCTCTTCCTCAACTCTGCATATTGTTGGATTAGTATATTCAGGACCTGGATGAAAGGGTGTGTACCCCCTCTGCAATTTTGTGAGCAATACCAAATTGAAGGGTGACTAACAGACTGAGGGGCAAGGCTGTTTTTCAGAGGAATCTGGACAGGCTGGACAAATGGGCTGACTAGAGCCTCATGAAGTTCAGGTGAAGCCAGTGTGAAGTCCTGCAGCCAGGAGTAAATAACCCCTTGCTCCACGACAGATTGGGGACCAATTGGAGAGAAAGCAACATTGCAGGAAATGACCTGTAGGCCTTGGTCAACAAGAAGATTTATCATGAGTCAGCAGTGAGCTCTCACAGCAAAGACCAGGCACATACAGGCTGTACTTGCAAGGGTGTAGCTAGCAAGATGAGGGAAGTTATTATTCCCCAATACTCAGGATCAGTAAGAGCATATCTGGAGTACTGGATCCAGTTTTGGATTCACTAGCATGAAAAAGATACTGACAGCAGAGGACCACCAAGATAATCATGGCTAGGAGCACATGATGTACAAATCCGAGAGAGAGGCGCTTGTCTAATCTGAGAAGGCTATGGGGTGATCTTAATGCTGCCTTTGCCTACCTAGTAGAAAGGTATAGAGAAGATGAACCAGGCTTCCCTGAGATGCTTAGCAAGTGCCCAAGCACCACTTCTTGACATGGCCAGACAGGAGGCAACAGGCACAAGCTGCAGCAAAGGAGATTCCAGTTAAACATTACGAAAAAAATTAACCATATGGGTGGTCAAACACTGGCAAAGATTATTTCGTGCAGGTTGTGGAATCACCTTTTTGATGCTCAAAACTAACTGGACAGGGCATTGAGCAACCTGATCTAATCTGCCCCTGCTTTGAGCAAGGAGTAGGACCCGATGACCTCTAGAGGCTTTTTCCAAACTAGATTACTCTATGATTCTTTGACATATCTGTGAAAGACATCAGCTCTAAATGTATTGCCTTGTTCTGAGTATTTAGTATTTGCCCATACACATAGAAAAAAACTGTAAGTGTATAATATTTCATGAGAAGTACAATGTTAAATTGCTGTTCAAAATAAAAGTCTCAGTGCAATCCCAGCCATGAGCTGCCAGGACACCACTGTAATATACAGAATTGAAAACAGCTACTTGTACTTCTCAAATAGTCTTTTATTTTACAATATTCTCTATTACTACCCATAACACAAAAACACAAAGACAACAGGTAACCACCTTGGCAATCTGTACAGAAAGGCAATTTTTTTTTTCTTTGGTTTGTAGTCAAAAGAACCTTAGACTTATGATGATGAAGTGATATGCACTGATGAAGCATATCCTGATGAAGTTATATGTGTATTTTTATTTCTCTCAGATTGATTCAGCTGTGGGTTGTTGTAACAGCCTATATGCTATTCAGAAAGGTAATTTTCCTCTATGTGATTACACTTAGAATTAAGGTATATGGCAACACAACTTACGCAAATTATCATCAGTTAATAATAATTGGATTATAATATTGAGATATCAAGGTGCAGGAACATACAAACCTCTAATGAGAAAAGACCCATCATCATTTCTTTCTATCCAGAGTATGTCAATATGTAGTTTTATGGGTACCAGCTCAGATGCCTTGAGATTTTCACGTGGACTGTCATCCTAAAAAATGCAAGTATTCAAAAATCAGTTTACCAGGAAATCAAAATAGCTAATTAAGATGTTCAATTAAACATAACTGGACTTAGCAAAACTTGAAAGGGAACATTTCAGAGTAGAATTTTCTAATGGGATCTCCACTAAACTTTTACTCCATTTTTTTTCCTGGGCCCAAATTTATCTCTGAAGTCTGCTGAACTCAATATATACAGTCTGACTAAAATACTTCAAAGTATTTTTACAGACATCTCAGTAAGATTATATCCCAACTCGAGACACTCTTTAGCTCAGGAGCTCTCAGAGTTAGAGATAAGAAGCCCATCCTATATAGTATCTGATTTTCCCTTGAACTGTTTAAAGACTGAATGGGTACAGCTATCATTCTTGAGCGGATTTTGTCTTTTTAGTATTTAATTGGGGATGACACTAGCTGCAGTTCACTTCTATTACTGTACTCAACAGAAAAGAAACTTCACAAATTACTTCTTTTGGGGTCTCTCCAGGAAGTCTTTATAGTTATTCATCCATGTCAAGCAGAATAACGCAGCCAGCATAATCAGAAACTACATATATCAGCATTAAGTATGTAGCAAGAAAGCTGTAGATACATAACTGCCAAACTTTCTTGAAACAGCACTGAGATGGCAGCAGATAACGCAAAAAAATAAAATAACCTTTCTTAATCCTTCCTCCCCCCAAGATACACACTACATCGTCTCATGCAGAAGAAATGGAATATACACTGCATTGAATAGGCAATGCAGTATAAATTTGAACCATATCCTCTCACTCTTTATTACCCAACCACTCTATAGAAATGAATCATCTGTATGTCAAATCTGCAGTTTGTGAACCATCACGAGTAACTTCACTGTGACTTGTGTGCACTGCTGAGTGAGCACTTCAGTGCTTTTGCTGCCAAACAGACTCCTATTGATGGTTTATTAACGTATATTCCCCACTTCAACCAGCTGCTTTCTCTAGAACATTTTGCTTAAGTCCACCTTCTTGGCACTAAACCAGCACAATCCTGTTTTTAAATTTAAATGACTATATGTTAAGACTTTCCTTTTTGCATTTGGGCATTCATGTCTGTGATACACTGAAATCTGAGGAACAGACCCACAGCTCTTACAGAAAGTGCTTGTGCTACTCCTGTAGTAGAAACAGCCCTAAAGAAGTGCTTAAGGATCTTCAGGGAAAGGAAAAGCTGCATAACCGAGGGAGGGAATACGGATGCACTTTGAGTAGAACACCATAGAGATAAGCATTGCCCTTCGAGTCAAGAATGATCTTAGCAGAATCAAGGCCCTGCCCCAGACGCAGAACTGGAGCTGCTATTCCAGTCCTTGCTTTATTAAAAGTTTATATGGCTGATTATTAATTTCCAAAGCAATGTTAACTTATCTTTATGTTTGTTTGGGTTTTTTTGTTGTCACCCCTGCCCCCCCCACAAAGGTGTTCTTATCTTTATATTTAACGGTTGTGCAGCACAGAACTCACCATCTCCTTTAAATGTCTGAAAGAAAATCCCCTAGGAGACTTGAGCAGGAGTGTCCTCTTAAAGTTGCTATTTTAAGCCACAGTGGTGGAAAGGCTTGCATTATTTAGCATCTGTTTCTAGGTAGGGCAGAACATGAAATCTGGGTTCTAAGAAACAGTAGTCAAGTGGTTTGAACTGAATTCCCAATAGCCTTTTCCCTTCTTTTGTACTGAACTTTCATTGCAAGAACTATCCTCTAAGTAGGAGAGAGAATTAACCTCTAAAATCAGTGTTTTGTAATTAGAAAACGATTACTATGCTAAGTAGAAAAGCCCAACTGAAAAAAACAACATTGTGCCCTTAGGAACTTGGTACACCTTACCTATAAAACTCCCAGACACTGTCACTCTACATAAGAGACTAGGAGAGCAGGAAAAAAGTATAAAATATTAACTCATATAAATAGCTTAGTCATGCAGAGAATTCCCCTGTAGGCATACTACAGTGTTAACCAAATCTATGGATTTTTAAATTGTTTTAGTGCTATCTAAAGACTTTCCAGAGTACGATAGCAGTTTCTTTGAAGTTAACTGTATCTAGATTAGTAGTTTATCATCAAAGAAACAAGAATACAATTTCTTTAGAGGAGCCAAAGAGCTCATTGTTAACATACTTTTAAATTAATCCTTGCATTAGAAACTTTTATCTTCATAGGCATCACTTCTGCGACAGTTTCATCTTCTAGAAAATGCTGAATGTTTGTGAGGGAAGATGTTAGAAATTCAGCACTGAAGTTCTCTACATGACACTGAAGAAAACCATTTTTTACAGCCAGCAGGGAATGTATGACAGCACTAGGCCCACTTTCCCATCTCAAACTAATCTCAGGTGATGAATTAACTGGTCCAGCCACAGATTTATAGTCAGAGCCTGTTGCAAAAGGAAAACAAATTTGCATTAAAATTTTGAAATGTAGAAAAAAGCAATTATGATGCAGTTACTTCTACCTCTACTGTCCAACTGATTTTCCAAAAGTACTTTAGAAGTATTATCCACAAATTACAGCATGGCAAATACAGAACTTCAGAGCAAATTTCTAAATATGTCACTTCAAAGTACTACAGAGAAATAAACAGTACATACAAGTACCGGTACCTCACTGTGACAACAGAAAAGGACAATACAGAAGTATCACCATGCACAGAAAAAAAATGTATGTTTCCTCAATGTCTTGATGATGGAAAAACAACTATTTTACATACTTTTCCACTAACTCCTTTAATTTTAATTCAGAAAAATATGTCAGTTCACTCTCTCAGGAGAGCAGATATTCTCTTGGAAAAGCAGAATTTCCTGACTCAGAAACTTACTTGTTAATACATAGGAACATAGGCAGCAAGGCAGTAAGATGGAAAACATGACCACATGGTGCTTCCATTGTTTGAGTGGCAGTAAATTTGAACCTTAAAAATACCCTAGCAGTTTCTTTTTAGTTTCAGTATCTTTAACCAGTAAAGACAACTGCAACATTCAACTAAACAGTTTTAAAAATAAGTAAAGTAAAATACAATAAAATATTTAAAGTAATCAGATATCGAGGGGTGGGGGGGCAGTATCTATTTGCTGTACAAAAAAAGAGCGTTCACAACCAGAAATAATTACTGCATGGGATTCTCAAGTCATTTGGTCACTATGATGGCTGACCTACGGAAATTATCTGTATGACAAAAAACATACTCACAATAATTATATTAAGAAGCAAACATTCAAGCTTAAAAGATGGCTGAAATCAAAGTAACTCAAGTAAAATCATCTGGATTATGTCAATTTATATTAGTAGAGCATCTAACTGTTAAACAAATTTGAGAGAATTAAAACAAAACAAAAAAAGGCTTCTTGGTTTAAACTCTGGTTCCCTCAGGGAAGTCCAATGTTCACAAGCTTAGTAATTGCAAAAAAGATGTGGATAAAGTTAAGTTTAAAGATGAAGTAAGACTTCTTTTTTTTCTATTTTTGTTTCTTTAATTCTATTCTTTTTCCTCTCCCCATACTACTGACATGCAGTTTATCGTATTCTCCCCTTCTTGATTCCTGCTTGTGCATATATGAGTAATTACCGGAAAGCTGAAGAGAAGGTGTATGGGAAATCTACTAGCAGCCTTCCAATACCTACGATGAGGTTATGAAGACAGAGTACTGTACCATAGTGCTCGTCAGGAAGTTGAGAGACAACAGTTCAAATTGCAACAAAAGAGGTGCAAACTGAATGGAAAGAATGAGGAAAATTAAGCAGTGGTGCAGGCTTCCTAGAGAGGCTGTGCAGTCTCTGCCCTTGAAAAGGATTCTTGAAAAGGACCTCAGAGAAAGAAAGAAGCAGGATGTGCCCTAAGTATTTCCAGACCTGAAAGGAGTGCCTGCATCATTGCTGGAAGAATCCACCAAAGTGTAGAAAAACAGAAGAAAAGAGCACCCATTCTGTCTCAGCCATAAGCTCAACCCTGGTTATCTTGTAGGTATCTGAAGGGCATGGTCAAGAGAGAATGGAGTAAAAATGGCATTAAACAATTTCGAAGCTGCTATGAACTGCTGTTCCTTTCCCCTCCAAGCATGACAACGTCTCAGTAAAAGCACTGTCCTTCCCAGAGTACCTCTGCCATATTCCATCCACCCTTCTTTTGTTATTTCTGCCACACAAGATCTGATAAAGGCATCATCCTGCAGCCAGCCCTGCAGGGAAGTGCACAGCTGCCACATAGCTGGAATAAGTCTGAGGGCAATTAGGCACACTTTTCCCTTTTTACACCCACTGCATTAACAGTATAGTAGGTTTTAAACAGTTATTTTTACCCAGAACACTTTTGTATGCAGTAATTACGACTTGATTACTCATTGCTTTGCATGGTTCCTCAGTTTACTGGTTACAATTGTTAATTCAGCACTTGAATAAGTTTTATTAAAGGTCCTGGGGGTGGAATTTTCTTTTATTGGGATATTTTCTTACGCTTTTGCTCACTGGTTCTTTTAGTTGTATTTTGTTACCATTAACTCATTAACTTGAGAATTATCTCAAGAGTTTTCCCAACCTTGATCCTCTGGAATTCTTTTATTCTTTTTTTAAACTGTTTTCTCCCTTAGTTCTTCTATTAGAATAAGTGTGGGAGATGGGGAGCAGAAGTGGCTACAGAAGATTCCTGACTCAGTACAGAAAGCACAGCCCTACAGCGGAAAGAAGAAAAGATCAGTGGAGAGCAGAAAAGATGTACGTTACAGAATGGGAGCGATCAGCAATGTAAAAAAAAAAAAAGTGTTGTTGGTCCACACATCCAGATACCCACCAGAAAGAGAAAGGAAGAGATATGAAGTGGAAGTATTTGGAAATTCCAGTCACATTATAACCTTTTGTCCATAAAATAATCAACCAGTGCACAAGCGTCTCATAAGCAGCTGAACCAGAAAAAGCAGGTTCTAGTTTCAGATCCACATGAGAGAAGGAAGGTGGCATGTTCTTACTATTTACTCCCTCTTGCTTTCACAGAGGATATGACAGATAATCAGAAATCAGTCTGCCTGCTGTATGAACTGAAGATCAGCCATGAGTCTTCCCTGCTGGACCTCCCTCTTGCCTTCAGATGCCTGAATGCACCTGCAACATCATGCAACAGCTGCTCAGGCAGCAGCTGCTGGCAACTGCTTAGCTTACCAGTAAATGGGTTCTTTAGCTAGGGCATCAGAGGCTGTATGACCAAGCACAACTTCCTGAAGAAAATCCCCACTGCTGCAAGGCTGGAAATAAATGACAGCCAACAGCTGCTATAGCTGTTTCCTAGGAAAGGCGATGAACCAGAAGCAGGAAGCAGGTGCATCAGGGATCTGCCCCAAAAACCCTACAGCGCAACAGACCTGGCATCCAACAATCCATGTGGAAGGCTGGCAGAGGGGAGCAAAGCAAACTGTGACGTGAAGTGGCACGCCAATACATCATGCCAAGAAAAAAAACCTCACAGTATGTGAACTAGGTTTTCTGGCAAAGAATGGGCATGAGTTCATGCCCAAGAACAGCTCTCAATACACTGGTTGATCTAGTTCTGCAAATATCTGGCATGAAACTACACCCTGTGTTCCTACCACACTTTTAAGAAAAAAAAAAAAAGGAAAAAAAAAGGCTGTTCTTGCAGCTCATCTTTCCTAACACAGAGTCAATTTTTAACTTTTCTTAAACCACAGATTATAAATGTGTTTAAATTGTGGGCATTAATTTAATCTAGAGAAACAGATCTTGAAGAAAAGAAATAGTCCTTCAATCAAGGTACATTTAAGCAAAGTATTGTCAGAGCAGTAAGGGAGTTCCATCTTCATCAAACAATAACATAATGTAATGCAACTTACTTGATTTAAAAAAAAAAAACAATTTGTGACCAGAATTCAATGCAATGCGTTTTTTTACCCTCACTATCAGAAATGGTTCCATTTTTATGTCCTCCCCTTTCAAAGTATGGCAATTAGGAAAGAAATCAGAATAAATATTCTAAACCATCAGAAAAAGGATGCTATTGTACTAACATAAAACTGGTTTTGTGCTTTAAGGCTAATACAGTGCTTTTATTTCCTTAGAACAAATGTTTCCAATTCCAATTTCACAACACTGAGATCTCATTGTTAGTTCTTACCAACAGTTCTGTTGCAAAGGTAGTGTCGAACACTGATATTTCCCAACTGATTTGGTATCACTTGGTTGACCTGTAGGCATATTTCTGTGTCTTCGCCTCTGATGTCAATTTCACCATTAACACCAAATATTTGGAAAACCACAACAGACATCTGTCAACAAAGTTAAGATAAAACAATATGACATTATAAATTGAATTTACAGTGGTTATTGTTTTTTAAGTTCTGTCTAAACCTTTTCCCTCACAAATGGAGAAAATCTTTGTATCCCTAACCCTTGCTCACAGAAAAGCACAAAGTTTTCTCATTTCTTCTTTCCTTTTTGCACCCATTGGCTTGACAATGGGTTGCTCAATTGTCTGTGCAGAGACAGACCCTTGTATTTATAACCCACTAATACTAAGTCAGAATTGTCCAGACAAGTCAGGAAAGTGAGACAGACTTTCCCCTCTCTGACAGAGAAGCATGTGACCTCTGTGATACCTGAAATTTTCTAAGGCTGTATTCAACTTCATGCGTATCATAAGCACACCCAAGCATTTGCAGCGCTGAATCAGATCAGGTTAAAGAACCTGATGGGATCCACCCAAGAGTACTGAGGGAGCTGGCAGAGGAGCTTGCTAAGCCACTCTCCATCATTTATCAACCATCCTGGTTAACAGGGGAGGTCCCATACAACGGAAGGCTTGCAAGTGTGACACCCATCTACAAGAGGGGCTGGAAGAAGGATCTGGGGAACTGCAGACCTGTCAGCCTGACCTCAGTACCAGTG